TATCTGTGAAAATAAAAGTTATAAAAAAACTGCTGTGCCGCCGCAGAACCAGCTATTACTATATTAAGTAATATATTATTATAATTATTGAAGATTTAAATTTATGTAAATTATGAATATTTTGTAGGAAATTTTTCGTAAAAATTTATGTTATTTAAATTTTAATCCATAGTTTTAAATTACTTAACTGCCTAACCATGAAACAATGTTCAAAATAGTAAGAAAATGTTGCAGAATAGGAAAAATTTATTAAACTGTATAAAAAATGTTAGAAATATAAGTTGCTATAACTTGTTTAGTTACTTTAATAATTTTTTTGAATAATTTCTGTTGAAAAATGTTCATAAAATAATCGACATAAAGGTGACATCAGCATTCTACCACTACCATTTACTAGAACTCTACCAAAAGTTAATAGAATTGAGATCTGAGTTATCTGAGTATAAATATGAAATTTCTGACTGAATTTGTATAAACAGGGTTCGTAGCGGTCCTTATAAGTGCTTATAAGTCCTTATATTTGAAAATAAAATATAAAGGCCCTTATAGGTGCTTACTTTTTCTTTAAAGCCCTTATTTTTTTGTTTTTAGTGCTTATTTTTTGCTTTTAGTACTTTTTTTTAAAAAAATGAACGTGCAATTTTACCCCGTACCAAAGCCGAAACTAAATAAACAAATTTTTTTCCTAATATGGAATGTAAGATGGTGAATCATACTCCCGGAAAGAGCTTTTCCCCCTTTCTCTGCATGAACATAATCTTTGGTGTGCGCGGAGAGTATAGACAGGTGCCCATCGTTCTGTTGTTCAAAGTAGAAAATTATGGTACATTCGGCATTCTTTTCCTCCCACCTAAATACTACACATGTTTGAATTTCTATCAAGATCTTAATAATTTGCATTCTCGTTCCGCTTGGTCAGTTCATATTTGTGTCTATTATGATCGTTATGCTTATATTATGAGCATATGTATGAATGTTTATAATAACATAGTTGCAGTAACTGCTGAAGTATAGTAAATTCCAAAAATGGTTGTGTTTTAACAAAGATTTGTTTTCTAAGGAATAATATTCAGAATGGCTTAAATAAAGAGGTTCTCCCCTTTCTTCGCAAAATCTCGAATATTGAAACTGTTGCAGTTCGCTGCAAAACAAGCAACGGGACCTCTCTTTCCAATCTGTATTGAATAGGACTAAAAGTTCTGCGGTCTACCAACCCAGAGCGAAGAATGATTCTATTCCGGAAATGTAACGCAATCTGTTGAAAATTAGAATGAAAACCACCCCAGATTGGTAAGTCTCTTTCTTTTCCTTTAGACGCTGAACACTGGTAGTTCAGTGGGAGGTTCGAATCTCGCAAACGGGCTGGTTGCATGGGCGTTTTCGTGGTTTTCCCCATGTGTAACGTGTATACGAGCTAGTTTCCCTTAGAAAGTCCTCCACAAAGGCATCCCTCCCTTCAAGCAGATAGCCCTCGTGTGCTTTGCCATAATTGAATAATCCAATCCAATCCTTTCTTTTCCTTTATTTAGTTCTTTATTCTCCCAATACCGGCAGCTGTTGATTCCGATTGCGTAATATCATGTAGGGAAGAATTACGGCGCACGTATTGCGCAATAACGTTTGCGATATTTTGCAAAGATAATTAATTTTGATGTTCGGTCCGAGATTTGTTTATGAACACTTAAAAGAGTTTTACTGTGCTAGCAAAGCAGAATATTTTTCTGTTCCGTTGGTTTGTTTTTATATGATACACATATCGAATTTTCAAATGCATTTATTTAACGGAAAAACCTAAAGAACGGCTACAGTCTATCCCCCCCCCTCCGCTCCTCTTTTTCAAGTTACGCTTGACTGTCCGAATATTTGCCAATTTTCAAGTATGCGGTAGTTAAGCTTTTACTGTTAAAGGATGACTGTATGAAGCAAATTTCTGTCTTCTGATTTCAGAAATGTTCCTCTTTTTTACTTTAATTACTTTGCTTGCAATATCTGTTAAGGGAAAACTGATATACGATGAAAATTTAGAAAATGTTCAGAATTTAGATTTAAATTAGTTAAATAGCAATATGAGTAGAAAAATAAATTGTATTTATTATTAAGTTCCAAGCGAATAGAATAAATATGCCTTATTATTATTTATTTCCTCTATTTCAAACTGAAATTTCATCATTAAATCTTGTAATATAGTTTAGTTCTGCATAGTTGTTTTCCTCTCATTGTAAACTAGTTCTGTAAATTGAACTGTTATTTAAAATTTAAAAAAAAGTAATTATTTTCCATGGTTGAGGTAATGCTTATTCTCTCTTAATAAATACTGCATTTCTCCTATTTTAAATTACGAGTCTAATTTTTAAAGTTATACAGTTGTGTATAATGTAATTAGGCAGGTGCTTATTTTTTTTCTTAAAATGTGCTTGAAAAGTGCTTATAGGTGCTTATTTGTTTAACTAAAATGTGGCTATGAACCCTGATAAATCAGTACATGGACATGCTAAAATAGTTGATTGATGTTACTAATAAGCCATATTCACGCAAAAATGTAAAAATCTTGAAATGTCAAAATCTGTATGATTACAATACCTTCCTAATGATGTGTGATATTATGGTCAGTAATTAAACAATAATAATAAAATTAGTTGTGGTCAGAACAAAACAGGCCATAGAGAGAATATAATATGAAATTTTTTTAAAAAATGAAGGGTAGTTCAAATTTTACAATTCCTGCTTCTCTTAATATTTGTTATTAAAAAGAATAATAAACAAATGTTGGTCTACATAACTTATCCTTTGAATAGTATCTGTAGATATTGCACTGAAATTTTAGTGTTGCACTTGCTCTGAAGGAACTTTGAAACATTCTTGTATAGATAAAAATCTAGTAATGTTGAAGGGACCAGTAAAAACATGCATAGATTCGATATTCTGCATTTGTGTTAATACTGTCATGACCTGTTTAAATTTGTAAATATGAGCTTTGTTGATTGACTGTGTGGTGCACTGCGCATGCTCCGACTCGTTTATATAATAGTAAAAAAAGCATTAAAAATAAAGCTGCAGCCACAGTTGCTTAAACAGATCACCATGAATATGCAATAGCATAAGGTACAGTTTACTAAAATTGCTTTGTGTCCTTTTATCTCCCTTGTAGACAGCTTGTTGCAAAAGGATTCTTTTATGGTTTCCTTAAATATACTTAGGACATTTGTCCTAATCTCTTTGTTGATGAATCTCTTTGTTGAAATCTCTTTGTTGATATCTCTTTGTTGATATCTCTTTGTTGATGGGAGGGAGTCAAATTGTCGTGAATCTCAAACAGAATTTGCATTCTGTTTCAATATTTTAAGTACACAGGTTAGTGAAAGTCTTGGCTTTCCAAGGTTTACAAGGAATTTAAAAGTTAAAACTCTTTATTGAAACAATTGTTTAATGATTTTATCCATTAATTGGACGTTTCAGCATATTCTTCCAAGTAGTGCCCAGGGAAGTGGCAGGTGGTACCCAGTTGCCACTTAAATATGCCTTACACCAAAAATGCCCCCTTAGATCTCTTCAATATTCAGTAGTGGGCAGTACCAACTCCATTGTTCTAGAGGCTGATAAAAATAGTATGTAGTATCCAAGATCATTCTATGGAATGTTGCTTAAAAATCCACACACACACACAGGGGAAAAAAAAAAAAAAAAAAAAAAAAAACATCTGTATATGTTATCGCATTTAAGTAACTAGAGAGTGTATTATCATAGAAATCTGCACATTCATTCCAAATACTATTGAAAAGATACAAACTTGCATTCATTCCAAGTATCATTGAATAGATAGAAGTTTGCATTCATTCCTAATATTAGAAACTTTGTTAACAAATTTGTATTTCAAAATTTCTCATTAATTTCATGTAATTTGTAAAAAACAATGATGAATAAAAAAAAAGTTATTTAAAATTGAGCAGAACTATAAATCTCTTTTTTATGAAATTTTTTCTTTTTTCACAAACACCATTTTTTGTGTAAAAGTTTTAATGTAAGGTATCATAATGAAGAATTATACCTTAAAAACAATCATATCTATCTTTTCCTGATGACAGGTTGTTGGCAGCTTTGGTAAACTTATTCAAAAATTGCGCTTAAACTTGCTTGCTTCAGAAGGAGAGGAATTTTATCTTTCTTCTTCATTAAAAAGTTGTTATAGTAGCTTATTCATGTTATGTGTAATGACATGATTTTGACCCTTAGCTTGGTTTTTATGTTGGGGACCAAAAAAAAAAAAAAAAAAAAAAGGAACTTGAAAAGTTTGATCTAAACTTTCTTACTGATTGATACGTTAAAGTCAGGCAGTTACACTGAGGGTCAAACTAACAGGAATTGACTATATTTTGAAAATGTTAAATTTTAATTTGAACTGATGTAGAGAGAAATGTTTCAGTGTCATTCCATTTTTGTACATTAAAAGTTCTTTAATGAATAGTTATGGCATGCTATTTTCTAATGATGTAATAGCATCTTCTGAACATTATTTCCCCCTTATTACATTATTTCCTTCCCTGTAATTTGTTCAGGTTGCATTTTACAGTACAGTTAATTTTAGCTGCATAATGTAATATGAAAGTATATATATATATATATAACTTATGTCAGTTAAGGCTGATTAATGTTTTTTTCATTATTAAGCTCTTCAATAACCATTTTTCTGAAAAATGTAGAATATGTTAAGTTTGTTGTAGATATAGTTAAGTCTCGATAAGCAGTAGAGCAAAGAATGTACTGTGAGGTTAAAATTCTTTGCAAACAGGTCTTGTTGAAGAAACTCTTACCGTTAAAATGAATTTACTTTTGGTGAATTAGATGGAACAAAATAGTATAAGGCAGTATTCTTTTCTTGCTTAATAAGCTTAAGTTGTTTTTAAATTTTATAAACTTTTATGCACTTTGTTATGTAACCTTCATTTATATAACTTTTATTTCTTATAATTCAGTTATTGCATATGAATTTTTTTAAATTGCAGATTGATGATTTATGTGGTGCTAACCATGAAAAGTTAAAAGAATTAGTGGTGAAGCACAAGTAAATGCATCTACTGTAGCTGCAAATGCACTTTGCTTGTTTACAACATTACACGTTTATCAAAGCTGAAATATTTAGAACAGGCTTTATTTTATTTTATTTTTGGGTACTTTCTTACATATGTAAAGATCCTCACTTAAATGTAGAATTATCAGTACACATATGAGATTATGCTATTGATTGCTATACTAGAATCAGATTTTGCATTCCAAACATTTGAAAAGTGTTGCAGTTGGATTTGTGTTTAGTAGTACTTAATTTTTACAAGATATACCAATCATTTCTTTTAAAACTATTCAAAAGTCATGTTATATAAGTTCCAATTTTTTAGGTAAATAACAGTAACAAATAATAGTAAAACAACAGCAGTCTTAATTTATCTTAAATTTGTATTAGTGGTGTATCTAAATGTTTATAAAAAAATATGCAGTGATTGTTTCTTAAAGATGTTTTAAAATTATTATTATTAAAAATTAAAGAAGAATTTTAGTTTCTTACTTAAATTTTAAAAAAAGAAATAGATCTTAATGTTTTCTAATAAAATTTCTGTGTGATATTTGAGGTATATATGTTGTACTGGATTAATTTACTTTTTTTGTTTTCTTTTATTGTCTTGAAAATTGTTGTCCTGTCCATCAAATTGATGTTGACAAGTATTTTAATGAATGCCTGCTGAGTATGATACATGTTTTATCAGGTGTGTTTATCATTATATAATGAAATTCAGGAAGGGTGAAAAGTAATCTTAATTAGGAATAAATTTGTGCCATGAAAGGTCATTCCAAGGATCAAGAGATATTTAGAAATTATTTAATGTTACTGAATTGCAAAAAGAACATGAACTGGGTTCGTAATATAACAAGCAAAAATTTTCCTTTATGATTTAAATTAGATTAATTCAGTGTCAAATCATATGAATAAATTATACAAAATGTGAGAATTATTTTTTTATAATTTAGTGAACAAATCCTTTTCTAGTATTTCCTTTCATGCTAATGAATAATTGTGTAAAAGAATACCATTTTCATGAGTAGATCAATGAAGTAAATAATGTGCTTATTTATTTATAAAAATTTTTTTGCATAATTTAAAGTTTTTATTTGAATTAACAGTCTGGTTAAATGGATAGTTGTGTCTGGAGGAATTGCTTATTATAAAGAGAAAATGATTATTATGCGATACTTTATAGCATAGATAGCTTTCTGAGACTGGATAGGTTTTTGTAGGTATTCTGAAAACTTGAACTTAAATTTCATTATTCTGTTTTTCATTCTTTAGAACTAATTTTAGTAATTTAAATTTGTCGTTTAAGCGAAGTCTGAAGCTGTGAATTTTAAGCTTTTCGTATCATTGTTATGCACTTCATTTGGCTCATTTAAATGTGTCTTAAAAAATATATGCTTATTTTAGTTCAAACTGCTTTATGAAATCAGGTATATTTGTGCAGTGTATAAATCGCTGTAGTTTCTTCAGTTAAAAAAATACAGAGGATACAGAGGTATGGTTTGGAAATCTACTTAAAATTATCTAACATGAGGTCACTATGGAGTTATGAGAAATTAGTTATTGCTGAAATTTAGTCAAGCTGAATAGTATAAAATAAGTATTATTGCAAAAATTTTAATTTGGATAATTTTTAAATTGTGGAAATTATATCAAGAAATGGGGAAATCATGGTCAAAACAATAAGCATTTTCTCTGAGAATATATTTTCTGTGGTCAACTACCTAAATGGTACTTCTTGCAATTTCCAGGAACAGCTATCCTTGTTTATTTCTTGTAAAATTGTTTGTGTCCATATAAACTCACATCACAGAATACAACTCTCAAGAGAATGAAATTAGCAATGTGTCTGTCGGCTACTGGAACATGCTCCGATTCTACCCTTTAAAACTTTCCTTTAAATGCATCTCCTTTATACCTTATTTGAATACACGCGAGCTAGAAATTTACATTCTGGTGGGAAAGGAGAAGGACAGTAAAGCAAATTAACATAAAATAACTTGTTAATAAATCTAAATGTATATGCTACATTATGTATATTTTTAGCTGATTTTTATTACTTGGAATACAGTTCTTGGTTGCTAACAATGACTTATGAAAATCTACTTTTAAATTTCATCGCATTTTATTGTCTAGGTTAAAGTATATTTTGTGAAAGCACTCTCATACTTAACTGTGAGTTTAATATGTTCATATTAAAGTCGGTCACATATTCTGGAAAGCCCACAAAGAAAAGATCCGTCTGTTGTTTATTAAATACAATACAAAGTATTATTATGTAACTTTATCAACAGATTTTCATTTCAAAATTTTATGTAAAACTTTTGTAACCAAAAACATAAATTCTTCCATAATTTTTGTTGAATCATGGACATTAATTAATGGTGTAATACTTGCTGAATAATATTTGATAAAATTGAATACTTCTGCCTGTTCCACTGGCCCTGGGTATGGTTTATTTAAGAAAATGTTGCAGATGCACCTTAATGGTTTTTCTTTGAATAATTAGTAATATTGAAGATAAGTGCCATGTCATGTAAATAAAAACAAATTTAGCTTTTTATATAGTGAGTGATGGACATATTTAAGCTCAGCATCTGCCATGAAATACTGAATGACTATTTTTTCATTGATATTTGAAATGCTATTGAATAGTTTTTTTATAGTTCTATTTTAGCAAGCACAAGTTTTTATGTATTGAGATAGTGTATAAAATTGTAATGCAATGTATATTAAATATTGCGATTGAAATTTTAGCGCGTTTTTGTAGCATATTTATTTAACGTAAAAGAAAATAATTCTGAGTTGTATATTTTTATAATTTTTACATGCATGTGTAATGACTTCATTTTTATATTTTAAACTATATGCAATGGTCATATTAAATGTCTTAAAGCTTTTTCAATATGAAATACATATATGCTTACCTATATCTATTGTTTTTCCCATTTCATGAAATTGTTAAACTGATTAGTGCCTTCTTAGTTAATAGGGTAAAGTCTGGCTCCAATTAGAGAGAAAATGGCTTGTGTTATGATTCAGTATTTGTATGGAATATTTTCATAGAAAATGCATTCTGTTTCTATATATATATATTTGTGCTTGTTTTAATTTTATTAAAGCAGTTGCATTCTTATGTTAAATTTTCTCAAAGTGTGTTATGATTGTTAAATGAATTCATATAACTGAATAAAACATTATCATGTTCTAAATGAGCCTAACTGCAGTATTGTTGTTATTGCACTAATAGCTCCATATTGTGCCTAATTACTTGTGTTCCACACGTTTGTTGCAAAAAATCCCCTAACTAATGATTTTACTCCAAAATGCTAATACAAAACAGCTTTATTGCCAATCTATTACAAAGGAAGGATTTTATGAAATTCTGTCATCTTTTATGTCATACTAGGGATAAAGTTCTTTTCTGTTTTTCATGTTGAAAACATATGCCAGTTTTGCTTCCAGTCGGCTACTGGAACATGCTCCGATTCTACCCTTTAAAACTTTCCTTTAAATGCATCTCCTTTATACCTTATTTGAATACACGCGAGCTAGAAATTTACATTCTGGTGAGAAAGGAGAAGGACAGTAAAGCAAATTAACATAAAATAACTTGTTAATAAATCTAAATGTATATGCTACATTATGTATATTTTTAGCTGATTTTTATTACTTGGAATACAGTTCTTGGTTGCTAACAATGACTTATGAAATCTACTTTTAAATTTCATCGCATTTTATTGTCTAGGTTAAAGTATATTTTGTGAAAGCACTCTCATACTTAACTGTGAGTTTAATATGTTCATATTAAAGTCGGTCACATATTCTGGAAGCCCACAAGAAAAGATCCGTCTGTTGTTTATTAAATACAATACAAAGTATTATTATGTAACTTTATCAACAGATTTTCATTTCAAAATTTTATGTAAAACTTTTGTAACCAAAAACATAAATTCTTCTTCCATAATTTTTTGTTGAATCATGGACATTATTAATGGTGTAATACTTGCTGAATAATAATTTGATAAAATTGAATACTTCTGCTGTTTCCACTGGCCCTGGGTATGGTTTATTAAGAAAATGTTGCAGATGCACCTTAATGGTTTTTCTTTGAATATTAGTATATTGAAAGATAAGTGCCATGTCAATGTAAATAAAAACAATTTAGCTTTTTATATAGTGAGTGATGGACATATTTAAGCTCAGCATCATCTGCCATGAAATACTGAATGACTATTTTTTCATTGATATTTGAAATGCTATTGAATAGTTTTTTATAGTTCTATTTTAGCAAGCACAAGTTTTTTATGTATTGAGATAGTGTATAAAATTGTAATGCAATGTATATTAAATATTGCGATTGAAATTTAGCGCGTTTTTGTAGCATATTTATTTAACGTAAAAGAAAATAATTCTGAGTTGTATATTTTTTAATAATTTTTACATGCATGTGTAATGACTTCATTTTTTTATATTTTAAACTATATGCAATGGTCATATTAAATGTCTTAAAGCTTTTCAATATGAAATACATATATGCTTACCTATATCTATTGTTTTTCCCCATTTCATGAAATTGTTGAACTGATTAGTGCCTTCTTAGTTAATAGGGTAAAGTCTGGCTCCAATTAGAGAGGAAATGGCTTGTGTTATGATTCAGTATTTGTATGGAATATTTTCATAGAAAATGCATTCTGTTTCTATATATATATATTTGTGCTTGTTTTAATTTTATTAAAGCAGTTGCATTCTTATGTTAAATTTTCTCAAAGTGTGTTATGATTGTTAATGAATTCATATAACTGAATAAAACATTATCATGTTCTAAATGAGCCTAACTGCAGTATTGTTGTTATTGCACTAATAGCTCCATATTGTGCCTAATTACTTGTGTTCCACACGTTTGTTGCAAAAAATCCCCTAACTAATGATTTTACTCCAAAATGCTAATACAAAACAGCTTTATTGCCAATCTATTACAAAGGAAGGATTTTATGAAATTCTGTCATCTTTTATGTCATACTAGGGATAAAGTTCTTTTCTGTTTTTCATGTTGAAAACATATGCCAGTTTTGCTTCCAGTGCTAACTCATGGACTTTATAACTAATATAGAAATTTAATTTTTATGTGTCTGACTTTAATGAATGAAAGACAGTATATGTCCCTCCCCCTCTGAATTGTAAAATACAAAATTCTGGGCAGAATTTACTATTATAGTGCATTTTAAATTAGTAAGTACAATTCTACCATTATAATATGTTTGTAATATACAAATATATGGGAGTTCAAGAATTAATTTGCTGCAAATTTACTCTTTCATATGTCTCCTTAATTTTCCGCAGAAGGAAATTTAGGTGTCCAAAATTACAAATAATTATTAACCATTTAAAATATTAATTTTTATTTTATCTGATATTTAGTTGATTTAAAATTTGTCAGTGTGTTTTGAGCATTAGATTTCATTCAGCATTTTGTTTGTCCTTTGATGCTGCTGATCTGTAATTTGGGAATTTAGGTACTCAGCACAGAATTGCTTAATATGTGAAAAGTTACTTTATTTTGAGATATTTACTGTCAGCAGCATTTATTTACAGAAGTTTCTCAGCTTATGAAAACTGCTTTGTACATTCTTCGTTAAAATCAACAGCGTAAGAATTTTATTAGTAATTCAAAATTTATTTTGACTGTTAAGTTCTGTAGTTCACAATTCTGTGAACTTCTGTTTTGAGTAGTGTGAATCTGATTTCAGCATTCAATGCATTTAAGATGTCTGCACAGATGAAATGTATGTAAGAATTAAAAACATATATCAGTAATGACGAAGAAGCTATGAATTATGTAAAAAAACATTTACTTTCAGTTTACACATATTTAAAATTTCTCCATTTAACAAACCAGTTTACATATCTGCATGTTCAAACTAGAATTACATATTTTTATTCCATGTTTTACTTGAAATGCAATGAAAAATTTCATTTCCTGTTTGTAATGCAAGAATCCATAGTTATCTACATTAGCTATATTGCATGTAGTATTTATAGCAGCAAAATATACTTAATCCATCTAATTTGTAGATTTCTAAAATACACTGTTATTCACATCAGTATACCGGAACCCAAATGTCAATTAACCTCTGAAAATTCAATAATTCACAGATAATGTAGGTGGGTAAAAGTTGACACACATGCTTGAAATGGTGTGTGGTGAAAACATTGTGGATAAGAAAACGCAAGGAGAAAACGTCATAGTACAAAACTTCATGGGAGAAAGAAAGCAGAGAAAACTTCCCATTGAAAGTAAAGGGGTTAAAAAACATCGTCAAAAATAGCATGGTAAAAAATAAAGTACCTACAAATTGTCATATGACGATAACATTGCACAAATGCGTTTTCAGGTTTTAAAAGTTGTAAATGCATGTTCACATAATTTGGGAGCGCAAAAGGAAAGAGATTCTTTTACTTCTATATTTCATGTTTTTGAATGAATTGATAAATTTTTACTGAAAAAATAAGGAAAGAAATGTAGGCATTGAAAAATTAGTAGAAAATTAGCGCAACTTATAGAACTTATTTTAATTTTAAATTAACCTTTTTATAAAATTTTATTGATAATTTTTTATAAAAAATGCAGTCTAAAACATTTCGGAAAAGGAAGATATATTACTGCTATAAAAAGTACTTAGCTAATTATCAAGTGATTTTCTTTCACGTCTGTTAATCTGATATTTTTTTAGTGAAAATTATATTTTGTTTTATGTCTGTTTATTCTTAAAGTGTTGTTAACATTTCCATGTGTAGAGTGCAATAATGTTTTGGATATCAATTTATTAGTTATGATGAAAGTCAGTTACATAATATGTCAGAGTGGAATTTGAAAAACATGTGTGCAATGTTATCGTCATGCAATGATTTGTAGGTACTTCATTTTTAACCTTGATATTTTCGATGATGATGTTTTTAAACTACCAAGTTTTTTAACCGCTTTCTTTTCTCCCACGATGTTTTGTACCACGACGGTTTTCCCTTGCTTTATTTTCTCCATGGTGTATGAATATGAATTGATATTATTGAATGATGAAAAAAAATAGCCTTTAAAATATCAGTGGAATTTTATTAGTTTAATATAAATACATCAGAGACATATAAACACTTACTTTCACAGAATGTTAACTGGGGGGAAAATAATATGTTGTAATGCAAAAGTTCGTCTGTAAAATGTTCATATTCAAAATTTTATTGGAAATTTGACTTATACCCTCTCCCAGTTTTAATACAAAGGGTATTCCTCATTTCAGCTTTTGTAGGAAATTCTTCACTTTTATCACCTTTGTCATCAGAAAGCTTATCAAATGTTATTCTTAGATTAGGTTAAAAAAAAAACGAATTTCAGCTGCCTTCTCCTATCATCAATGCTACAACTTGAATTTTTCAATAATATCCGCTCAAACATTAAATTCTTCATAATTCATTACTAGTTGGAGACATTATCTTCTCTATCTTCCTCAGTTTCATCATTTATTAAAAGGTCGGCATGCCTAAGGTTGCTTTCTTTTTGTTGTAACTTATCCTACTTATCTGAAAGTAACTTCAGAACAAGTCCACAAATTTTATCGTGATGAGGAATGCAGGATTGTGTCTGCCGTTGCCAACAGCGTTGAGCACTTAATAGGTGACAGAACAACTTTGCCCAGCTCTAACCCAATTTTGAAGGAAAATCCTCTAATGGATGAAGATAAGGGTTTTCTACACCTTTATGCCTACCACCAAACTGTTCAAGGCGACTTTCGGCTTGCTGTGTATTATAAGTGCTCCCACTCCACAAAGAGACTACTAATCCAAGCCGGGATTCGAACCTGAGCAACATTTATGTCTAACATCCATACTTTAAAGGACTCTCACCTCACGACCATAATATTTATTCTTTCATCACTCTAATAATCCCTTGGTGCCCATCGCTGAATTATTGTTAGTATTAACTGGTGCAAAATTTAAAGAATAGGTTCCTTTGTACCTGGTTAACGTAAATCAAAACTAAGTTATATGAAGAGTTAATGCCTTAGTTGATGACTTTTCTCTGTTTTTTTTTTTTTTTTGGGCATTTTCTCTTCTTCATTTTGACCTCTAAGGGGGTCTTTATCTTTTATTTGACAATTCACCTCAGTTAAAAAATTTCATTCTGTAATATTTTAATCATATGTTGATCACAATAAGCAATATATTT